AGTCATCTCAAATGTATTTTCAGGCTGATTAACTTTGTAAAAACAGAAATGAAAAAGAAAAGGACTTTTGTACTGGGAAAATGTACATAGATAGGAAAGAGAAAATAGCCACTTGAAAAGAAAAGGAAGAAAAAAAAGAGGAGCTCTAACATGGCTTTGTCTGAAATGCCCCAAAGCATTTGCTTGGGATTTTTTGACTGTTATTTAGACTTTGCTGAAGTGCCATGGGTGGAGACGGACACTTTCTCTACATGGAGGAGGCACAGCTGAGGCAGGGGCAGCTCACAGCGCTCTGCCCATCTGCAGCAACTCAGTTGTGGAGGAACTCTCAGGCAATACCTGCAATTACGATGAGAAAGTACGATGATGCCATTCCATCCTGCGTGTCTCACAACCAGCGATGGCAGGACTGGAACGGAGACATTGCATGTAGCTCCAGCTCTTTCACCAGTCCGGACATGCTCATGCGGGACATGATTAATGTCTGTAAATTAACATGGCAACCAGCTGTTTGCTGCCCTTCCCCAAAAGCCAAACTGGCTAACTATTTCTCCCCTATAATTAGCAGTTCCTGTAACTGTTCTTTTGTTCAGTGAGGGACCTCTCTGCAACACCGTCACTGAGTTTGCTGCTCACATTAACACCGTTTTCTGTGGGCGAAGGCACCGACCCACACCCCACCGGTACCAGCCATCGCTGCGGGGCTCTTTGCCGTTGGGCCATTACGTGAACTTGAGCACGATGGGTCACTTATCTACGGGCCTCTTTTTCCTCAACTGTGCAATAATACTTAGCCTGCTCTTTAAAGTATCAGAGGTATTTTGAGAACTACATTTTCTGCGCGTAGCTCTCCTGCTCTCCTACAAATAATGCACTAAGGGAATGCATATAGACTCTTTAAGCCCTTGTAGGTAGGGAAGTAGAGAGGCAGCTATATGGAGAGTGTCATATCTCATTCTTTTTTTTTTTTTTTTTTTTTTTTTTTTTTACGGTGAGGAGAAACTTCCCAAGGATCAACAATGGCAAAGCCCAACTGTGGACATCAGTCTAACCCTGGCTGATTTGCCCAAGGTCAGACACAGTTTCTGGCGCAGCGAAGAAGCCAAGCCAGAACGCTCTGACCATAACTGTAAGACCTTCCTTCTTCTCCTTGTCTTGTGGGAGATTTAATTCTGAATCAGGGAAAAAAAAATATCCTTATAATTGGCACAACCTGTGTGAAAAACAGAACTCTGTTCATTAAGAGCCTTGCAGTGGCCAGGGACTATTTGGAATATGCTGTGCAGTGAAATAGCCTCTGTATCTCATAAATATGCTATGTAAAAAATAACAAGTCTAAGCAAAGCTAGCTTAAAAAGCCGAGCCATCAGAGAAGAGGGTTACAGCAAGAAGCAGAGAAAGGGCTGAGTAGTGGGATGGTTTTGTTGGCATAAACCCATGCATGATAGACTCCGCACACAGGTTGGCAGACTCAAGGAGGTCACTGCGCTCAAAAATTGGTTCACAGCATTTTCACACGTGTCTTTACTTTCTACTGCCTCTGCTATGCAGTTCTGTTTGCTAAGGGCCCAGAGAGTTTTTATGTCCAACATCAGGTCAGCACACCTTGAGGGGTATGGATACAGAGAACTACACCATGCTTAAAGAAACAGCATGGTTTAGGAAACTCTTTGGGGTTTTTTTTTTTTTTTAAGACAGAGGTTTTGTTGAACTGGTGTACATCATCCTTAGCAAAACTGTATAATCCTCCCCGTTTTCTCCTGTGTGTTGGTACTGTTTTTCTTCCAAACACATACTACAATGCAGTTCGACTCCCTCTAAATGCAACTTAAAATTGTTACTCCTGGAGTAATTTAAGGGATAGTGACAAACTAAAAGTAATTTAAAATGTATTCCTAAAACTCGAGGTGAATCCAAATTACCATTGCGTTCCAAAAGGCACCGGGAAAGTCTCTGACCCGCTGGAAGCAAGCAGCAAGCCTGCCAGCCTTACAGATAACGTTGCAATCTGCCTCTTTCCTACTTTAGCGTCTTTATCTTGGCAAGCTGATACCACCTGAAAAAACTGACAGATATTATTCATGAAGACTGAAACATGATGTCTGTGCAAAGACAACTCCAGCTACTTGGAGTCCAAGCTGAAAAAATAAGATTACTTGATTTGAAATGAGTGCTTATCTAGTGTTCCTTCCTTGCTGGCACGCTTGCTTGCTGCTGCACTTTCAAGCGATGCATTTAGCTAAACATCTCCACAGTCAGTGGCCAGCCTTCTTCGCAGAAAATAGACTGGAATGGGACCACTGGGAGGGAAAAATCTGCCTGCAACAACCTCCCTGCAGGATCTGTGGCCCCGCTGATGGTGTAAACACATGTAACTCTCCAAGGGAAACCGCTCAGTAAATGGTTGAAACCAACCAGAAAACGCTACTCTTTCCTTGACCAAGCTGAAGGAAACTCAAGTTTTTCATCAACGGTAATGAACATAAAGCATGTATTACGCGCCCGTACTGAGGAATCTTCGCAGACCAGCCCAGAGGAGGCAGCCAGGCAGGGCAAGCAATGTGGCAGTGCCCTCAGGACACCCATCTGGAAACCTGAGCCACAGATCAACCTGGGGCGTTTGCTTTCTTAAATTGCTCAGTGACCACTTCCCTACAGCCCTACGGGCGTGGCAGCACACTTGCCGTTGTGATGCTCTGCAGCCAACACAGAACACGCTTTCTCCAGTTCCCAAGAGCCATTGCACTGTTTCGCTTGTACGTTTTCCCTACGCATCTGCTATAGACCACTGCTGGAGAGAAAATACCAGTGTAGGCAGATTCTTCAGGTGATGTAATGTGGCCTTTCTTATTTGACATCAGGTAACTCTGACGCTTCCCTACTGCCCATCCTTCCCTGCTGTTGCACTTGGAGAGTTGTGGTGTCCTTGTACCAGAAGCCCCAGAAGACAGTGCTGCAGTTCATACACACAGATGTGTCTGCACACACAAGAGCTGGCAGGTTGTTTCCCAGTACGTGCTGCATAAACTAATGCCTCGTCCTACCTTACATTCTGAAGTCCCTTCCATTCAAAAATCTTAGTATTAGATCGGTAATCATGAAATAACATAAGCATCACCTTTATGCAAAAGCACATAATTTCAAATATGCATGTGCCCCTTTAAAACCAGAAAACAGCTCTTGAAGACTGGGTACCTCTCACATTTTCTGATTGTCCCATCAGTGATGCCATTACTTTGTCAGAAATCCCAATAAATGCAAAGGTCTGACCTTTTCCCCCAGATAATTTCCTTTTCATAATAGCAGGAAGACCCGACCAAGCAGTGAATTTCTGCGAGGATTATTGCACTTCTTGGGTGGTTGATGTGACTTGGCCTCTGGCATCACGCCATGCGACGTACTCCAGAAATGCACCGCATTTCATAGGTTATTGCTCGCATATTACTGCCGGGCAAGTGAACGCTCCATACGCTGGAACAAATTCAAACGCCTTTAAAGGAGATATCTTCCTCAGCGTTGGCATTCATGCGCTGCAGCTGTAAATTATGCCCAGAGTGTTAATTTTCTTTTTAAATGTGTTCTCATCTCGTAATAATTAATGGTGTCAAGTTACTGGTGTGAAAAAAGCCTGACTTTACAACAACGATGGATTAATGAAATAACAGTCATGGCTGGAGTAGCAGCAATAAATTGTTAGAGAGGAGTGACACACCTGAAGTGATGCTTTCAAAGGCCTTAAATTATTTAGGTTTCAATGTTCCTCGTAAATATTTGGCTTTTGTTAACATTTGTTTCTGTGTTAAAAACAGAAGTCAGCAGCTCTGGCAAGAACTCCCACACTGATGAGCATGGGAAATGGGGTGCACATGCATGGGGAAGCAGGGTCCAAGACATCCTTCTCTCCCCTAGGGACGACCTCTTAGTTCAGCGGTCATCTCTAGGTCTCAGAGCTTCACCACACAGTTGTGTCCTAGCACACCTGTGTGCTTGGTGGGAGAGCGATGTGGAAAGAGGGAAAGGGATATAGCTGGCCTGACAGAAACATGAATTTGCTTAGAAATACCATTAACTGGTGTGTTGGATGGCTCAGACGCACGAGCCCCACTCTCCACCCCATTGCCTGCCCTGACTGGGAAGAGCTGACCACACCTGGCTGCAGTGACCAGGATCAGCATTTCCGTGGTTGGGAAGAAACTCCTAGGTGGTGCTTAGCTACAGGATGAAGCCACTGTGCCATCTCCTGCTGCTCCATACTCTGGAGCATAAAGTACTATTTTGGGAAGCAAAATTCAAACCCCACAGGCTTAGAAAGGTCTAGAAACCACACCGCAGAGCTCATAAGTCCAAATCTCTTTTTAAAACTGATATGAAGTAAGAAATTCTTGAAGCAATCAAAATGGGAATAAAACAGAGTAAGCAGTTTCCACAGATGATACACTTTTGATTAAATTTTTTGTTCAATCTGTTTTAATATTCAATATTATAACATGTAAAATGCAAGAAGAAGAGCCCTGCAGATATATTGGGAGGGAGGAGAATCTCATTTAGAACATTGGGAAACTTCTATTTGATGTCAAAGAGTACTGGATCAGGCCTTTGGAAACCACACCTAAGGGCAAGGCAAAGGGAAAAGTACATCATAATGTGTCTGACGCTAGATCCTCAATTGCTCCTTAAACTGGTATAAAAAATTTGGCTGCTGATATGAATGGAATTTTATCACTTTGTAACAGGGGAAGACTCTGTATGCATTTCCGAATACTTATTATCAATTAAATTAAGTGTTGTAAATTGATAATTAAGTATGGTCAATTAGATTGCTCGGTAGAAAGAAACGAATCCTTCTGAAAATTGCAAATATTCCTCCAAAAATTAACACAATTCAGATCATATAGAAAAACTAACAAATACTAGACAATTTTGTACAGCAAGTAGGACCTAATGAAAAGACTCTAAAATCTCTGAGAAGCTTCCCAACGCAATAAAAAGCATTTGATTTCCTTTCTCTTTGAATATTTTGTTTTCCAGACTGGAGATTTTTTTTTCACTGTGTTCTTATGATGGCCTCACACTCTTCCTTTATCTCCATCAAGGCTTGCATCAGGCTGTGATCTGTCCCATGGGTCACCTTCATAATATTATACGCCTTGAGGAGAGAACAGAGACACACACGTTAGTCATTGTGCAGACCGTATGAAGGGGCTGGTCACTGCAGTGGAGGAGGGATATAAGTACTGGTCTTCAAACGATTGGCAGCTGGGGGCTTGAATGCGTGGTACAGTAGAAATAGGAGTGAAGCATCCCAAAGCGTATAACGATTTGTCCCTGACACAGGAGCAGGCACTGACACATTATTCTTAGATGTTAAAGGCCATGAATATGTTGCACAGATGGATGTTTGGAATAGTAGAGGAAGATACTTTTGCACTGAGGCATGAAGGCCATTTTAAGATTGGTCAACTACAGCACTCGAGGTTTTGATACATTATTTAAAAGACAACTGTGATGTTCATGATGTTAGTAGCCTCAAAGTCCTCTACATAGAAATGGATTAATGCTTAACCAATGGAATAAAGTGCCTTAACTGTACATTAATAGCTTCACTTTAAAAAAGGCATGCAGGGGAACGGGTCTTCGCTACTTTTCCCAGGGGTTATTTTCTCTGTGTGTTGGTCATCCTTTCTTGCTGGGCCAATTTACACTTGCTGATATTGCCCGTAGCGTTGCCAGTTCCCTACCACAGATATGTCTGAAATGCTCTTTGCCCAGCTCATGTTTAGATCATCGCTTTTCTGCTTCTTCCTTCTATTAAATTCCTCCTGCAAGGAGAGAAGTACCAGATGGAAATGGATTCAGCACTTCTGAAGAAAGAACAAGGGAACTAGAAGTGTACTGGTAGGAGAAAAGACATCAGAGATGTTTCCTCATCCCAAACTGAGGAATTATCAAAAACTAAGTGCAACCTGTGTTTCAACAGGTTCCTGGTCCAGTCAGCTGACAAAATTCAGCTGTATCAGCCTTGGTTTGCAGAGAAAGAATCTTTTGGAAGCAAATGTTGAGGAAAGGGCCTCATTTAAACTGGAAAGATAAAAATAAAAATAAAAACAAAAATAAAAATAAAAATATGATTTGGTGGAATGAATGAAAGTCTACTTCCGAATTCTAGAGACTGGCAAGAATATGGAAATTCTAGCACAGTTTATTTTTGCTTCAAATTAGCTAATTCTTAGAAGAGGGAGGCAGCAAAAGTTTGAAAGAACAAGTTGAAACAGCAGTCAAAACAAATCAAAGAGTGCAAGGAGCTCTAAAAAAAGTCAAATATGTTCTGAGCTACCACAATGACCTACTACTAAATGATAAAATACTCAGTTAAACAGAACAATGGAAATGCTTTCATCACAAATGCCTAAGAAATGTGAAATAAAATCAGAAATAATCAGGTTTTGCATATTTCTATTTTAGCAGAAATACAAAGCTGGTCATGCTTTTGTAAAATGCAAACATTGCGAGTAAGTCAATTATACTCTCTGAAAAAAGTACCTCAGTTGTTCTTAGTGGTCTATTTTTCCTAATTTAACATATTGGGGAAATGTTATAAAGAATAGGTCATAGAAATCTTTCAACATAATGGAGTGTGAGGTATTAAGCTGTACAAGAGCACTTTTTAAAAAAATTAATAATTGAAAAACTAGTGTAAAAAGCAAGAATAAGAGCCAGCCCTTCCCTGGCAGAGACAGTGGAATGGAGAAAGATGTGAACACTTGCATAGTATAGGAATCCCTGGATGGTGCAGAGCAGGATAGCCGCAGGTGGGATCCCATGCGTGTTGCAATGCAGCAAGACATAGCTGCACCCAGGCTAACTAGGAAGAGACAGAATCACCCTAGAGTGAAGCAGCAAGGTGATTTGGCCATGGATCCAGACATACTTGGTGCCCAGTGTTTGCATGCCCTGGCCAAGAAAGCTGTTGGATTTATTGTGAATGACCTGTGCTAAGAGCTGTGCATTTGGATATGGTACATCTGAGTCTCAGTCCCAGGGCAGCTGACCTTGATCTTCAGCCTACCTACAGGACAGAGGTCAGGCTGGTAGTGACGGACCTGGACACCCTGATGCACAGCCAGAGATGTCCATATGAATATGCCTCTGTTAAAAGGCAAAAATCCTTACTATCAAAATTAATCTGGAAATAATGCTACTATTGCTGAATTCTCTTCACCTCCCACATTTTCTTTCCATTTTCCTTCTTTCCTCAGTACGGCAGATAAACGCATTCAGTCTTTACCCTTTTGTCTCCTTCAGGGAGAAAATCATTCTCATGCAATGCACCGTCTCATGTGCTGCAGTAGGAGTCAGAGCCCGCTGTACTGAAGTTAGAATAGCAATGACTTCTGTAATCCCCAAATTAAACTGGCATTACGCTATGTAACTGTTTTTGCAAAGGTCAGTGCAAAACTGGGGATAATTTCATCTCCAAAGCAAGGAATTGTTTTACTGGGCAGAAGCAGGAATATGCAGGCTCTCTGAACACTCCCTGCTCCCCTAAATCGCACAGCTAACCAGCAGAGCAGAGGCTGAGCACTCTTGTGGTCTGTGTGGTCTTCCTCTCAGCTAAAAGAACAAATCTAATTATGAAAAACTATAGTAATTGCAAGACACCAACACAGGTCACAGTGTCATCAACCACACTCTGTCTCCCTGAAGAAAATAAAATCCATTAGGTTAGTGGCATGGCTGTTGCTCCATGAATGCCAATGAAACGCAGCACAGTCGTTTGTACCTTATTTGCATGGGGATGGGATGGGATACCCATCACCAGCGCTGCGGGGAACAGTGAGCAGATGCAGGACGACACCGCCCTGTCACAGGGAAAGCAGAAAGCAAATGCCACACACCAAAACGGCATGAAGTGAAGGCTAGCATTTCAGAGAGGGTATCTGCGGTTTTCCATCTCTCTTGATTGAAGGAGACACTTGTTAAAGCAGGCATAGGAAACCCAAAAACTGTCACAGCTACTATCGACCACAGCTGGAGAACAAGTCAGTGTTTGAAGCAACCACCTAGAGAAAGGGGATTTCTTCAGTGTTACCGTGAAACCTGGGAGGGATTTTACCCAATTCCTGTGCTTTTTGCCTCCGCATCAGGGATTATAGCAAGAAGGGAAACGATACTGTAGCTATTGCAGGCCTTCATGAGATGAGGCAGCCATGCTCATCAGCTCACGGGAAGATAACGGTGCTCCTGCGACCCAAGTGCAGGGTCTGCAGGGGAAACTGGCCAGTCGTGTCATACACGTGTGTATTCTCCTGCCTGCCTGCCCCTGCTCCCACTGGTCATCACTCTGCGGCTGGGCACTGCTGCCCTGCTCAGGAAAGTGCACGAGTACAGGCAGCCACCACCACCATCCCAGAGGATGGAGCAGCAGCCGAGACAACATGCTGCAGCACCCATCAACTCACTTTGAGGAGACGACACTCAGAGATGAAGTCATCTCCCTGAATCCAAGCCTTCTCCTCTGCACGCTGCCTGTCGTCCCAAACTGGGTCCAGCTCCACTCAGGTTCTGGGCAACCAAAGAGGTGAGTTTACAGTGCTGCGAAGGTAACAAATGACACCTAACAAATATTTGTGCTGACAGTGCACCTCAGGACAAATCTATACAGTTGCTAGGGGCTCCTGTAAGCTCCAGAGATGCAGATCTGTCCTGGGCTTCTGCAGGAGTTCTGCTTCCCAGTTGAGAAGCTTTACTCTTCACAAGACAGCTTGTGGCAACTTTTGTTATTGTCACTTTTTTTTGTTATTGTCATTCCAGGCTCTTTAAATTAGGTTTGTCAGACTGGGCTCCAGCTCCAGTCTTTTGCTGACAAAGGTTTTCCTGATCTATAATTCCATTCATCCTCCCAACATTACATTTTTCATATATATATGTATATAAATCTAAAAATAATATGTTGTTTTACAATAAACTAAGGGTTGCCTTCAGGTTTTATTCCAGAAGTGGAATATTGCCTCTCTGTAACACTTTTATTTCTCAAACCTGGCAAATTAGATTCTGCAGGGTCTAATACTCTTTCAGGGGTGATTTCATTTTAATGGGTAACATAAAGCCCTACCTACACATTATTTAAGCCTTCTTTGGGGGTGCAGGGCAGAGAACTAAACCCAGAGGGCACTAAGAGTAAGGTGGCTATGATAGTGACTCATTTTCGAGTGGCACAGAGAGCAGCAGTAAGGGCTGGGCTGCAGACCTGGGAATGAAGATCTACTGGTCCTAACAGACTGTGCATCTGATGCAGAGAGGCTGTCAATCCCCAGCAGCTCTAAGGCTGTGCCTGATTAAACAGGATTTATATAAGTGAGGCGAATTTCACTCAGATCTCAATTCCCCTGCACCTTCTACATCCTTCTCTTTAATGCCACACTGAAATTAGTCTGACGAGGGCTCCAACAGGGTGCTATTCAGTGTCAGAGTGTATTAAGAAGAGTAATGAAGCAGAGAAGGTAATCGAGTGTCTGCTCTGAGCATGTGGCGTGCTCAGTTGACACATCTAACCACAAAGGGCCAAACTGTGTTCTCATATAACTCTAGGACATTATCTGAGTTATATTAGGAATCGCATCCTTTACTCACAACAAACTGGGAATTATATCTTGTTCTAATTTCTTCCACTGTAGACAGCAATGGAGGGAATCAGTTTCAGATCTCATCTGAAGATGCATTGTGTCCTATGCTTACAAGTTGCATGGAAAAACAGGATGACGAGAAGCTTTTCCTCTTCTCAGCTGTGCTCTCAGAGAGTGGGAGTTCAGTCTATCCCTGTATCACACACGTGGGTGAAAAGGAGGTGGCTGAACAGGGAACAGGCAAAACCAGAACAGGATTGGTTTGTAAATGGTTCAGCATCTCAGCTGTAAAGCACTTACTGTGTCCTTGTGAACCACTAATGGCTTGGAGACCAAAGTTAGAGATGCATCGAGCTATGGCACAGAATGGTAAGCAGCACCTTATTGTCTCTTTTCGGGGAAAGAAGAGATTACAGCTTGAAAAAAGGTCTCTGCGTTAGTCATCACTCAGTATCCAAAGAATAACATGGTAGCAATCTGGCTTGCAATGAGCAACTTCTTCACTAAAAACATACAAAATCCCATCACGACTTCCATCTTCACTGATAAGCAGCACTCGGACGTCTCTAGGGGAGTTCACTCCAGTTTCATTTAATGCAGTATCATATAAGAAATACAATTAGAAGAATGCTTGTTGATATATTGCGGCAGTATCAATGAAAATAGAAGCTCTTCTGACTGAGGTCTCATTCCACTTGCTAAAAAGGAAAGTCTGAATGTTTGAAAATTATAAATATTATGGGAGAAATAGCAGAGCAGATTACCTGACACATGACAGATATATGACTTACTTCTGAATAATGCATGGAAAATAGAAATGGTAACTCTTTCATCTGCTTTTTTAACAATCAGAATTGGACATAATTTTAGTTAAATACATCAAATGAAAATTTAAGTTACCAAGACTTAGTAAGACTGGCATCATATTAAATACTGATTTATTATTGGAACATGTGGAAATTATCAGTTATTCAGCTTGCATAATTAATCAGATGTTAAATCCAAATAGAAACGAGGGTTGAAAAAAGTAAGCACAAAATACTAAGTTATCTAGAGTGTCGTGACTGATACTAACTTTATAGGGGGTCCGGGCAGGAGTAAAAACCACTTCTCCCCTCATTCCCAGTGCAGACACCCATCCCCTTCTGTCCTATGCAGCTGCCCTAACTTTTTGCTACAAGACTAGCTCTTCACATAGTATGGATGTTAAACAAAGGGGATACACAGCCAACTCCTGCACTTCTTTACAACATTGGGCCCCACTCCTGCCCAGCAGCAACAAGAAAGTAGCTGGGCCAGGTGGCTTTCTGCAGCACCCAGCAAAGGCAATGAGGAGGCTGTGTCAGGCATTGGAGGTGGGCTGAGAGACGAGAGGGGGAAACCCCTCACATACTGTCTTCAGCCCAAGCTGACCATAGGACAACCAATAATACAAGAGAATCAGCATCAGACCTCTTTGAGGGGAACTGGAGGCAGCACGTCTTCCAGGGGGAGAAAAACACCCTAGCAGTGGCTGAGGGCTTGAGATGGGAAGCGAGTGAGGGCCTATGTCCTGAGGACATGCTGCACATGGAAGGGGATTCTTCAGTGTATTTAATATGATATTAGCAGCAATATAATGGCAGGACAAAGAAGAGACTGGGGTAGGAGGAAATTAATATAACAGTCAGCTCAGGTACAACAGGGACGGCTTAAAGCCGAAATGTAACTAGCAAAGCACTAGATGCAAAATCAGGTCAAAGAAGAGAATGATGACAGATGATATAGAAATAGGGGGGATCAAGAAGCATGCCTTTTGATTTGAGTGTGGCTCACCATAAAATACAAGCATTAAAGGCAAAGTTCTCCAATCTGAAATCACAGATTCCTCATTGGGAATAAGGAGGGTAGAAACTGCAGCTCTGCTCCTGTTCTTGCACTTTCATTGCTCCCAGATTCACTTTGCTAAGGTAAGACGGAGCGTATAAGGCACTGAGATATATTTATCTCTTTGGATCTAATAGTAATTTTTCATCCAGGCACCTCTGAGCTATTGAACTGTAATTAGCAGTGACTGATACTGGAGGAAGTCAGTGACGCTGAGCAACAGTGACCCATCACCACACTCAGCTGCAGCCTGGGGAAACACCACTGATGGAAAAAGCAGTGAGGAGTATCCAAAGGATCGAAAGGCATGAGCTACAGTGAGAGCAGAAGGGAGGGGACCCACAGCAGATTTAGGGAAAGCGAGGGAGAGGTACAGAGAAGAAATGGTTCACAACACTGACCTGTTTCAAGGTCTCCAGCGCTTGAGGAAACATGTCTTGACTGTACTGCAGTTTGCCCACTCGCATCAGTTGCACAGCCCTCAGTGGATGGAAACCAGGGTAATACAGTCTGCAGACAAATAGGAGGAAAATGTGTCACTGTCAGCTCTCACCTTCACAGTCACTGCCTTTGCGGAGAGCTATTAGGGCGGGACTGCAAAGTCATTGTGAATGTTAATAAGGTACTCAGAGAAAATTAGCTGCACTACTGAGAAGCATGAAATACTGAGGGGAATTAGCAAATTATTACTCTCCATCTCAGAGGAATGCCTTTAACATTATCCTGTTAGAAAGTGACGGGAGTGGGATTATTTAATTTGTTACTGTTGGATAATACAATAGCATTTACTGTACTTAGTGTTGCAAACAGAGGTCATTCACAATCTCAGGTCTCTGGAGAGGTATAATTTTAAGAGGAAGCTTCAGGAGGGAACCCAGTCCTGGATCCTCCAAGATGAAGGAGAGGGACTGTAGAGAAAGCAGGTATGTAACATCGAGGCCACCATTTCTGAGGGTTTGCTTGTTGCTCCCTGTTGCAGAAAGAAGTGGTGTTCAAGGAAACACCTCAGACTTGACTTGTGCATCTTGACAAGTTATCTGCTAGTGTGAGGATACACTCCCGTTCTTAATTAATTTCACAGGAGCAGAGGTTTTCCATAAACCTTACTGGAGTTAATAAAAACAGAACTATGCTCTCTTTGTTTCTAGGAAGTAGATGGAGAGCAATGTCATAATTAATGCCTCTCAAGATGTTCTTGAAATGTCTACACTTTCATGGTGGCCACTCCATGTTTCCAAATCCCGCTGGCCCTTGGCTCACAACGCCCGGATCTCATCCCAGCCATGTGTCCTGGATGTGGAGAGCACAGCATCTCGGAAGAGCAACCTGGGGGCTGCAGAAAGCCATGAATGTAACTTGCCTGGAACTGGCCAGCAACAAACACGAGGTGAAGGGACACATCTGGAAGTTAAGGTCACCTGCAAAAGATCTTAGATCTTTTTGACTAACTACACAAATGAATGAATAAAAGTCTTAGGCACAACTCACTGAAGACAAATGTTCTATTTGATCAAACAGCATTTTATTTCCTCAAGTATACTAGTGGTGTGCTTGAGGAATGTCTAAAAAACTACAAAATTTGTCACAACTGCAGGAAGAAGAGTGGATAAGCTTCCCAAAATCTACTCTTTGAAGAATATTTTTTGTGTGTTTATGCCTAACCTATGATCATTGGACTTCAGGGGAATTGCTAAGGAGTGATACCACTGCAGTCAGAAAGACACTTAAACCTGCATGAGTATGATTATTGGAACACCTTTTGTGGAAGCACATGCTAGGACACTAAACAATGTAAATTTGTACAATGTATAGGAATCTTCATATAAGTCTGCATGCAAATGAATGAATTATCTTTCTCCATTATTTTCACTAATGAAAATGCAAACACAATTAAATACAAGTAATTGTTTAAATGGCAGTGTATCTGGATGTCCTTACAAATCTCAAATGAAGATGTGTAAACACCATGGAAAATGTTTTCACACCCCAAAACCCCTTTTCTGTTGATCCCACGCAGTTTCAGTGAAGACATACAGAAACACATGGGAAGCATGCCTGGCAGGATCTCACGATCAACAGCTCTCGATATGCCAAAGCCTCTCACAAAGCAGCAGAAACCAACTCCTCAATGAGAATAATCCATCCTGAATTGCCACAAGCACCACCTGTTCAGATCCCTTGTGAGCTGCAGTCCAAAAAGGCTGGAGAGCCAGCAAATGAGAGAAGAAAAATTAACACTTATCTCAGTCCAAACTGATCACTCAGGAACTTCAAGGATCCAGCTAAACAAACACTGGAAATTATACAGTAGGTTTATTTTTAGATTTTGTTTCTGGTTATTATATCAACTAACATGGTGCTGTTACTAGTTAAATAGGGAGAAAAAGCAACTAAGTCAGAGATTTTGGTGTGAGTTAGTGAAGAGTAATACAAATTGCAGCACTAACATGGCACAAATGGGAGAAGTGAGCACATCCACGGCTTTGTAAAAATTGCAAAAAAATTATGCCTACATGATTGCATACTTCTGCTCTCACCTATAACTGTTGCAAAGGAAGGAATAAAAAGGCCATTCCCTCTCTTCTGGACGACCAAAATGCCAGGATGCCTGGGGCAAGGATCACAGTCACAGGAGACGGAGCCAGGGAGGCAAAGACTTTTGCATGAGACGATAACTCATGTTTACAGTCCCCACTAGACTGTCTCTGCTGTATCCTGACAGCTCTGATTCTTTTCCCACTGCTCCTTCATGGCCTCTTCACATCTCCTTTGTTCCACACCTTTACCTTTCATCCTTTCAACCATCTTTTTAATGTCTCTCCTTCTCCTCTCCCTCCTGAATAACCAGCCCCATCCAAAATACCAACACAAAGAGGGAACTTGGGTCCTGCCTTGCCTGCAGCCACTGCAGGGATGACAGCTCACTGTCGTGGGTTTAGGCCGATCCGGCAACTAAAACCCACACAGCTCTCCCACTCCAGTAAAGTGGAGAGGAGAAAAATGTAATAAAAGAGCTGAGGGTCGAGATAGGAACAGAGGAGCACCCACCAACCATGGTCCTGGGCAAAAGAGGCTGTTTTCTTAAAGCAAAACTATTTATTAACAGCTACCTACAAAGAGAAAAGAAAACAAAAACAGTTACTTGAGAGGATAACAAGAAAACAAGGTCAGAACTTAAAATCAACACATTTCCTCCGCTCTTTGCCTTTTCTTCCCGGCTCTACCTCCTCCCCCCAGCGGCGCAGGGGGACAGGGAATGGGGGAGTGCAGGTCAGTTCATTCCATGTTGTTACTGCTGCTTCTCTTAAAGGAGAAGGAGTCCTTACACCATTGTCCCTTGATCCAGTGGATCCCCTACTCACGGGGAAAGCGTGAGTCCTATCCACAGGATGCAATCCTTACCCCATCGGATTGCTCCCGTGCGGGCTTTACCACAGTCTCGAATTCTTAGGGAGTTGTTGCCACTCGCTCTGGCGTGGGTTGACATATCGACCTTAAACGCGTCTCCATACAGACTTAAAATGCGTAAATGCGTAAATGCGCCTCAACCTGTGCCCGTTATTCACAATAGTCTCAGGCTCAGGCATCTCCTTTAACAAAACACCTCCCCATCGGCGGGGGTTGTTCCACAGACTTTAGATGCGTACCGTACTCAGGCTCTGGCATCTCTCCTCAACGTGGATTCTCCACGGGCTGTGAGTGGGTCTCTGCTTGCTCCACCGAGGACTGGTTGCAAAGAGGCCACTTGCAAGGGGACTCAACTGCAGCACACGTTGTCCCATTCCATCTCCACTGACCTGGTGTCTGCATGGCCGTTTGTCTCATCTCAGTCTTTTCTGGGTGAACTCGGCCCGGTGGGTGCCCCAGGAGCGGGGCTCTCCCCAAGTTCCCCAAGCGGCTCTGCCGCCGCCATCCTCAGCGGGTGGCACCAGTCCGGCCCGGGCCGCCGCCCAGCTGGGTGCCGGGAGCAGGGGCTGTGCCCCTCTCCCTTCTCCTCGCTCCTGGGAAAAGGCACACCTTTCTGGTTCCTTTGTCCGACGTAAATAGGACAATTCGCAGAGGCGCCGATTGGCTCAAGCCCCGAGGGGGATGGGAGCCGGGTTCTGATGGGCAGCTTCTGCCACCTGGACCTCCCCCCCCACATCAAACCATGACACTCACGTAGACAAACCCAAGCTATGCTTTAGCTCAGCAACGTGGCACCTGCTAAACTTCACATGGGTCCATCAGAATTCAGAATCTGCCCCTCCATTCAAACAGGTTTCTTTCTATAGATCATACATTCACCTGTAGTCAACAGAGATTTAGGATTGTGGCATATGCAATACTGGAGAAAACAGGTGTCAATTTAGCAACGTCAGGTACTTGGCCCAGACTACCAGCCATAAACTAAAGCAAGCGAAAATTTAAGATGAAGACACAGAAGGAGTCGGTGTGAAACAAAGAGCCCTGTGCTCATAAATATTTACAAAGCTGTTTTACTGAGCTGATTTATGCTCTGATCTTATTCATGTACATAGTTACATTTTGCAAGCCTTAAAATTGACATTTGAAACAACTGTTTATCATCATATTCTGGAATAAATCTATTAAACTATTGGAACACCTTTTGTGGAAGCACATCCATTGAGTGAGTTTACTAGAGAAATTCAGGCAGCTTGCGGCTCTTCTGGGAGAAATGTAAGCGGGAAAAATGCTGCTGGCTTCTTCCAGGCATCCCTAGGATTCAGTATTATGAAAAACTGGCATGGTAGAAAGAACTAAGAAGCAGTGTCAGGTACTTGTGAGCCAAGTTATTATCCCCACACATTGCTCTGAACAAAACAAAGTCAATAAATTTAAGAATAAGGAAGACATTTACCAGCCAAGGAACTGGTACCTAAAGACTGTCAACAAGAGACTAAGACAACTATAGAGAAATATATGCTGTAAAACATGTTACAGCTTGGGAAGAGCAGGATTTCAATCTGAAAAGGATTTTATGAGATTTACCAAGGCCTGAGGGACAGGAAGGAGAACAATAACATACTGAAAGCTGAAATATAGTTCTGTGAAGTGATGTTTCCTGGCCCTTGGCACTGGTCAATGCCCAGTAGTCCACTTGCAAAGAGAGATTAAACAGAATACAACTAACAAGCAAGGCTGCACTGTAAACAAGAGAACTGGAGCAGGCTGAGAAAGATCTGTACATTTTGTGTCACATTCTCTACTTACATAAGACAGCATAGCTTTTTTTCCATTTATTACCAACAGCCTCCCTGCTGGCCTCTCCCTCCAGCCTGCCCTCCTACCTATTGACTGGTCCCCTCAGTTTGGTGTCATCTGCAAACCCCACAGAAGTGCCTTCTGTTGACTCCTCCAGGCCGTTGATAAAGATGTTCACCGTTGATAAGGATGAGTTCCAGGACAGTTTCCTGTGGTACCCCACTGTCACTGTCACTCAAACAGGGTATGACACAATAACCATTACCTCTTACCTCCACCACTCAGACAATTTTTCACCTATGTAG